CTATAATATTGGCCATATTATATTTACATTACCAAAGTGATATGACTTTAGTCTCATGAACAACATCAGCTAATTCTTATTTACTAATTAATCTTGAAATAACTGTTCAGTACAGAAATGAAGCCCAAAAATCATGTTTTACTGTCCTGTGGTCTCAGCCTCAGATACTTATGAAATCACACAAAGCTCTTGTAGAAACAAACAAACAAACAAATGAACAAAATATGTTCTCCCTCATTTCTGTCAAACCAAGATGTATGACACGTTTCCAGTGGTTAGTATCATGGTTGCTAGGCAACCTGGGAAGCGCGACAGAGACTAGACCGTCCCATACAGACAAACTTGCCGTTTATTTTGCAAATCGAGCTCAACACTGCCCCTAGCGTCCTGGAGCACTTCCGTTGTGTTTTGGAATTTGCATGTGTTTTTGAGTTTGTTCCCGTTCCTGTCAGCGGAGATCGCATTGACCACCGATGCTTCGGATGTAGCAGTGGGCGCCGTGTTGGAACAATGCGTCTCCAGCATCTGGCAGCCCCTTGCCTTTTTCAGTAGCACGCTCCGTGATGCGGAGCGCAAGTACAGTGTTTTTGACAGAGAGTTATTGGCTCTGCATCTCGCGACGCGACATTTTCGATTTTTCCTCGAGGGCCACAATTTTACCGCATATGTTGACCATAAGCCTCTGACTTTTGCCATGTCCAAGGTTTCTGATCTTTGAAGCGCGCGCCAGCAGTGGTAGTTTTTGGCAATATCAGAGTTTACCATGGACATTCAGCACATGGCTGATAAATCCAACCAGGTCGCTGATTGCCTGTCCCGCGCGCTGATCTCGCCAGTGTATGTCGGTGTCGACTACGCTGCCATGGTTGCAGAGCAGAGTGCCGACTGGGACGTCCTCGCCCTTCGGTCCTCGCAGACTGTCCCCATGCTGGAAGACATACCAGTGTGGGATGGTGGTCCGCGTTTGCTGTGCGATGTGTCTACAGGTCGCCTGCACCCCATTGTTCCTCTTTTGTGGCGCTGTCGTGTTTTCGACTCCATACATGTTCTCTCTCACCCGGGCGTCCGCGCTTTGGTCAAGCTGGTCAGTGACAAGTTTGTTTGGCCGGGCCTGCGGAAAGCGGTAAAGAGTTGGGCTGCTGCATGCGTTCCGTGCCAATGCTCGAAGGTCCACAGGCACACTCAGGCGCCCCTGAAACCTTTCCGCATTCCTGGTAGGCGTTTCGAACATGTGCACTCCGATTTGGTCGGACTGCTCCCATAGTCGCAGGGTTTCACACACCTTTTGACTGTGGTGGATTGCACCACCAGGTGGCCGGAGGTGGTTCCCCTGGCTTTCACAACAGCTGAGGTGTTGGCCAGGGTGTTCGTGTCCACGTGGGTTTCTTGTTTTGGTCCCCCCGCTGACATTACCTCGGACAGAGGCCCTCAGTTCATGTTGGAACTTTGGTCCGCCATGGCTGACGGCCCGGGGGTCAAGGTCCATGGCATGGTATACCACCTGCAGGCTAACGGGATGTGCGAGCGGTTTCACCGGTCGCTCAAGGTCGCACTCCATGCTTCCTTAACGAGTGGTAACTGGGTCGACCATCTGCCTTGGGTTTTGTTGGGGTTGTGCAGCACGGTTAAGGAGGACCTCGGGGTTTCTCCCGCTGAACTGGCCCTCCGCGTCCCCGGGGAATTTTTGCCTGAGAGCCCCCACCCGTGTTTTGATGTCTCGGTGCTGGCTCTCCGCCCCCCTGGAGCCCCCTTTTCTGTCCCTGGTCTCGTGCACCAATGCCTACCAGATGTTTTTTGTTGGAATCTTCTCCTTTTGTTTTTGTTTGGCATGACGCCCATCAACCCCCTTTGCGTTCGCTTTATGACGGCCTGTTTCGGGTTATTGCACCAGGTCCCAATTATTTTGTTTTGGATTTTGGGGGCTGGCAGGAGGTAGTTTCAGTGTTCAGCCTGCACACGTTCTGCAGATGCTCCTGTGGTGCCTGGTGCCAGCCCTCCTGCCGCAGCCGCCCACCTGCTGCCGGAATTGGACTCTGACCCTCCTCTGTGATCCCGTGCCCGTGGCGCTTAGCCGCGGAGGGTTTGGCCTGTCCTTCCCGGCCTGGTGAGCACCCACAGCCAGTTCTTGGACTTCCTGTTTCAGCCATTCTGGACGATTAAGCCCTGGGTCCTGGACTAGTGGACTGTTGTTTGGGTGTTCGGAGGGGGCATGTGTGACAACCCACTAGAGGGTTCCACTCACACCCAAGCTGGGAGGAAGGGTTCTGCTGTGTTTGGGCACAATATGCTCAGTTCATGTTTGGAGGTGAATAAAGTTGGAGTGTAAAACTAGAGCTCCTGTGTCGTGTGTCACATGCCTCCATAGTAACAATAGAAAGCCCAGGATGTCCCCTTGATCATAGCAGGACTTGTAAAGATTAGATAATTGGTGCTTGGTGTAGTGGTCTCAGACTCAGACAGAGGACAAAGTCTAATTGTTGGTTTTAGATGGAGATAATGTACTAAATCTCACGTTTTACTGGACTTTTGACTTTTTTGTCAAGGTCAATTAAGATCAAACTTCTATTCTTTTCTTTTACTCCGCTACAAACTTTGTAAAGTAGGCTATGTTTAAAAAGAACAAAACAAAAACAAATATTTAAAAATTACAGCACTATTTCCTTAAAAGTAAATGCTGCCCAGAGAGTGAACTGCGTTGGTGGAAGGGTGTGTTCTTGAAGTGCTTCTTGTATTTCTCTTCCAAGGAATCTGACTTTCTTGTAATGTTTTGCAGTTGATCAAGGGATCTTGAGCAATAGTTCTTCAGCCTTCCTGAAGGTTTTCCTTTTGACATCAGCTGCTTTTTCATTCACTTTCAGTTCAGTCCTTGTAGCTGATCATTTTCAGAGGATTTTTTAAAGCCATTTAACACTGACATATGAGTAAGATAGTAAGATAGTAAGTAAGATATGATAAGTATAAAAATGCATCTAGCTCAAGGAATGAATGAGTGTTGTGTCAACACATAACAGACAACTTAGCAACGGACTCATTTTAAATTGTTCCTTTCAGTTTGCAATTTGTTATTAGCAGACTCAGAAAAACATAATTTGTTTTCATTTCTTTTGTTGGCTCTGTGAAAAAATGTCAATGATGACACAGTTTGACATTCATAAAATTGCATTTTTGTGTGCTTAAAAAATGAGGAACCGGAAAAGAAGTAGCAGGCCTACAGACTATTTGCAGTCAAATAGTGTAGTACTCTCTTTCAGTACTACAAAAAGTATCTGAAAGTCATGTCCTTAAGAGTTAGGAGAAAAAACAAGCATTTAATTGACACAAAACATTAGACATGTATCTGGCCCTTCAGCTGATCCATCTACTGCTCATGATGAAGGCTCATCAAGGTGGCTGTCAAGAAGCCACTTTTAAGGTAGGGAAACAGGGAAAAATAGCTGAGGAATGCTGAATTACACAAGGACTGGACTGAAAGATCCATCAAAAGCCACACCTCGCTCCTTTACGCCCCTTCTTCTTACTTCCTTTTATACTGCTAGAATTGCAGCTAGTAGAAGAAAGGACACAAATGATGAAGACCAGTTCAGAAATGTATGTTAAGTGCAGTGCAGTGTAGGCAAAGAAAGTTTTGATGATGCTGACTTGGCAAATAACCTTGCTTACCTCTGGAAATCCTTAGTGAAAACCAAACATTACTGATATTTACTATGGCTTTTACAGTTCAATATCTTTCCTCATGAAAGGCAAACTTTTAGCAACTTTTTTAGTAAGAACATTTAGAGTGAATAGTGTAATTACTACTGCTCTGATATTGAGTCCCAGAGTGAGAAAGGCCTGAACAGTATATGCGTGCAGCAAGATACCTAGAACTAGCTGAGTGAATCTGTGGTTCATTTCCTGCACTTCATACTTCTTTACATAGTGTGTTCCAAGTCAAATATAGAACACTGTGACATCCTGTTAGATCAGCGGTGAAGCAGTGTGTATGTCAGGTTTGTCATGAAGACAGACAAAAGCATTTAATCGGCATGTTTTTATTCACAGGTTAAAAATACATAGAGACCAATAAATGTTGAGTCTCTGACAGTGTAATAGATGCAGATACTAATAAACATGGTTTAACAAGCTCGAAGATGAAAAAGTTATGTACACAAATAGAAATCTTACCAAATGTAATCTTGAAAACCCTTAAAAAACACATTTCATGTAACATTGGTTGTTTTAATCAGTAAATCAATAATCACAACTTTAAGCTGAAGCAAAGCCACAAAGGGTTTCTGTTACTGTGACTAATCAGAAAAGTCGTAACATTTCTTTCTTACACTTGGAGGGAGCACAGCGAGATACTCCCTGCAACAGTAAGAACAATTTATAACAAAGTAACAATTTAACACACACTTTTTAATATCTATGCATGAGAGCACTGTGTCAGTCAATTTGACACGAACAATTAAAAAAGATTTTTTTTTTCAGTTGAAATTACCTGATGTTGAAATCTTATTCAGTGCTCGGTGTCTCCTGAGTGACGATCACTTTGCTTTCTGTGAAGGATTTCAAATCAGCCGTGTCAGTCCTCTTTGAAGTTGCAGCAGCTTCTGACTTTTGGGCAGTATTTGAAAAGGTTGACATGGAGCGAGTGGACAAGAACGACATGTGGTCCTCTGCCAGAGCACTCTCAAGTACAAAACATACAGACTGCCGAAGCTTTTTCATGAATTCTTCACACATGAAAACATAGAGGATGGGGTTCAGGCAGCTGTTCAGAAAAGCCAGACTCAAAGTCAGAGAACCCATGATTCTAACAATGTTCCTGAGGTCTGGGTTAGTCACAGCCTTTATTTCTATAAAACTGCAAACATGGAAGGGCAACCAGCAGATGAAGAATGCAAAAATGATGGAGAAAATGATTCGGCGAGATCTGCGTCTCCTTGTTCTTGACATGCGCATTGCACGTATGCCTATGGCCACATAAGACACAAATATGACCAGGAATGGGATCACAAAGCCCATAAGAAAGCGAAAAATGTGGAGACTCCATTTCTGTTCATGTGTCATAGAATAACCACAGTAATATGTCCCATTATCTCCTAACACAGTGCGAAAAGTGGCATAAGGAGTGCTGCAGATCGCAGCAATCACCCAGATACCAACACACATGAGCCGAGCTTTGCAGACTGTGCGCTTGTTGTGTGCCCACACCACCACCCAGATGGACAACCAACGATCAGCACTCATAGCTGTCAGAGTAAAAATGCTGGCAAACATGTTGACTAAAGTGACAAAGTTGTTGAGCTTGCACATGAATTGTCCAAAAGGCCATCGGTGACTCTGAGAGAGAGAAATGATCGAGAAAATCAGGAAGGCTGTGAAGAGGAAGTCAGCTATGGCCAGGTTGAGAAACCAAACTGTCTCGACTGTTTTCTTCATTTTTAACCCCGTCACATAGATAACCAGAGCATTGCCCAAAGTTCCAACTATAAATATCACACAGTAGATGAGAATGGAGGCTGTTTGTATGTGTCTCAAAGCTGATTCCAGTCCATGTGATGGATTTGCAGCCGAACTAATGTTACCTAAAACAAAAATCACTTTATTCAGTTCATCAAAAGTTCATATTATCTTTTAGCTGACATAGTTTAAAAGAAATGCTAATGTATGTCGAAAGTTTCTCACCAGACCCCATGTTCCTTTTAGCTGAGAGAGCCGGTCTTTAATCTACACTCGTCTCTGTCTTTTACTGCTTTTATTTGCTGCCATTACTCCTCCCTCTCAGTTTATGCAAAAGAGAAGAGAAACATCTCAGAATATGCTCATGCAGCAGGAAAGGCTGAGTGATATATTTGCTGGATATTATTTAATGCTTCCATGATTAAACTGAAAGGTTGAACAAATCTTGGAAGAGCAGTATTTATTTCACTAAGAGTGTTTTCATATTTCACTGAGAAATTATTTGTAGTTACATATATTTTATTAATTTTTTCCTGGAAACATTGCTGGAAACACCTTTTAGAGGTGTGAAATTAGAGGTGTGAACGTGCGAAGTCTCTGACTGATCAACTTAAACAGTCATGTGTACTAACAAGTCAAGGCAGTGCAGTCAACTGCTGCTTTTCCCACTCCGACCCCCAGTTTGGTGCACCTGACTCAGTAACAACAGACTTTGGTGTGCCTAGCAAGACATACTAAGGTACTAGCTAAGATAACTATTGTTAAATGTCAAAGTCTGGCATTGGGCTCCAAGCTTCTGCCTGCCTTTGATGGTGGCCTATAGGCACTAAGCAAGTATAAGACAAAAGCACCAACAGGTCAATAATTAGATAAATAAATAAATACACAACATAGATCATCTTGTTAAATATGGACGGGTGACTCCTTAAAAGTGTTCACCTAAGCAAATACACATTTACCAAGAACTTTACACAGCATTATGACATCATTATTCTCTATGCATCTCAAGCTTCACCCAAGATAAATGCAAACAGCTTCATAGAAAGGTGGAAGTGAAACAGACAAGATGCATCAATGCTATTTCTCTAAAAGTATTCACTCACCCATCCAAATCATTGAATTTAGGTGTTTCGATCACTTTCATGTCAACAGTGTATTTAATCAAGCAGGTAGCCATGCAGACTGCTTCAGCAAACATTTGTGAAAGAAAGTGTAGCTTTCAGGAGCTCAGGGAATTCCAGTGTGGTACCAGACTAGAATGCTACAAACTACTAACAAGTTCAGTCATGAAATTTCCTCATTACTAAACATTCCAGAGTCAGCTGTTTGTGGTATTATAATAAAGTTTAAGGGACAACAGCAACTCAGCCATAAAGTTGTAGGCAACGGAAAATCACACAGTGGGGTCAGTGTATGCTGAGGCAATTGGTGTGTAGAAGTCACTTTGCTGCAGAATCAGTTGCTGCAGACGTTGAAACTTCACATGGGCTCCAGATGAGCTCAAAAACAGCACATAGAGAGCTCCATGGAATTTCCATGGCTGAGCAGCTACTTCCAGGCCTTAGATCACCGAGCACAATGGACAGCATTAGATGCAGTGCGGTAAAGTAGGCTGGCACTAGATTCTAAAGCAGTGAAGACTTGTGATAAGGTTTCTTAAAGGGACTCACACACAGGCCAGGTTTTCCTTAGGTGAAAGATAGTGCATTTATTTACAGTGAACACAACACCAAGTGAATATACACAATGTGCAGGGGAAAGGGGTCCGTGGGGAAACAGGTTGGGAAGAGGTGCTCCACACCTTCTGTACAAAACTCCAACTCCTTCTCCACTGCCACTCCTCTCGTAGTCCATAATCAGGTTCCAGAAAAGATCTACACACACAAAAGGTCCGGTTAGCAGGATAGTCACAACACGCACAGATACACAGGTTCAGATTTGCAGGTTTGACTGACGCCGATAGCTCAACGATTCAGCGAAGACTAGCGCAGATCCGCCATCTTAAATAGCAATCAGCTGGGATCAGCGACTGGTGTGGTGATGAGAGCAGGTGTGTGGGCCAGCAGCGGGAGCCCGTAATGAGCATCGCTGCGGCGAAAGACAGAGAGCGAGAGCGGGAGAGGAAGGAGGGAGAGAGTAAAAAACAGAAACAACTATGTTGCCTAATGGAGAGTCGACCAGCGAGGCACAAGGACCATGACAACTTGTTCTCTGGAGTGACCAATCACACCTCTCCATTTGGAAATTCCACTGACAAATCTGGGTTTGGTGGTTCCCAGGTAAATGCTACTTGTCTGATTGCATTGCAGCAAGTGTAAAGTTTGGTGTGAGCCAGGATTTCTCATCCTAATAAATCTGCTTCTGGAAGAATGGCCAAAACTTCCCATAAACACACTCCTAAACCTTGTGGATAGCTTTCCCTGAAGATTTGTAGGGTGGACCCGCTTCATATTAAACCTTATAGCCTATATAGATGACAGCCTTCAGGCTGTCATCTATATAGGTTCCCCCAGTTCTGCAAGCTGATCAATACAGTATTAAATGTTAACATGTTGAATATAATCAGAGAAAGTATATACAGTGGTCCCTCATTTATTGCAGCAGGGGTTCTCAGAATAACTAGCCCCTGGTCACGCACTTCATACACTGTTTTCCCCACACACATGAACATTGGTCACAGTTCTCACAATTGATTCTCAAAGTGCAAACCTTTGTAGATTGCAAAACGTAAAAGTATTATTATGCCGCGGTTTGTCTTCATCTGCCTGCCACTTTCGTGCGCCTTTTTCCCTCGCGGTGCAGGTGTCTATTTCCGAATGAGGGTCACAGTTATGGGTGTTTTTGTGCTGTTTTTTCTATTGGACGTGATGGTTATCAAAACCAAACATGATAAATTTGGCAAGCGCAGGAGACACGACACGGAGGAGATTTGTCAATCAGGCTGCAGAATGCAATGCTGTACGGTGCAAAAAAAAGAAAAGAAAAAGAAAATCAGCGAAAAAGCGAAGCAGTGACGGATGAGCGGGACCACTGTGTGCTGTTTATTAATAAACAAAATATATTCCTATATGACAACATGCATAAAAGCAGAACGGTATTTGTATATCAGTGGGAAAATAGCGGTGGCTTGCTAGCTTTTTTGCGGCTTCCCCGGGTCAGCGAAAACTTTCAAAAGAGAAATGAATAAACTTACCAGGTTGCCCGATCTCTTTACATATCTTCCTCCAAGCTCGGTCCTTTATATTCCTGTCTCGGTACAGAAAGCAGCTGGTGTCGTACAGCTCCGGGTTGTTTGCTACTGCGTTGATTAGCCTTCCTTCCATTGAAGAATGAAGGGCTTTGGCTGGATCTGCCCTTTTGACCTAGGTCACAGCCACGTCACCAGGCTCCTGATTGGTTGTCGCGGCGCGATTTGACGCTGGAGTTCAGATTTTTCCACCTCGAGCGGTAGACGCGTAACGCGCATACGCACAAAATGCAACACAAAAACTCACGCGCATGTTTTTTTTCGCGAGTCAAACGCTCCAAACGCGCTAGACTGACGCGCATTTCAGGCGTTTTCGCGACGCAAATCTGCTTCCGAATTTTCACGTTAGCCGCAATCGCGGGTCATCGCGCTTTTCCATTGACTTTACATTTAAACCTGATGCTCTGTTCGCGTCTATCGCGTTCGGTGTGAACACACCGTTACACTCCAGGATGCGACAATGAGGGGAGCCGCAACCTGCACACACGGAAGATTACTGGGAGATTACTCGGAGGACACCTGAGAAGACAACTGACTTTAAGAGCCAGGGTTTCACTAACTATGTAAATCAACATTCCAGCGATGAATGACTGCCCACCCACACCTTAAGTAGGATCTGTGATTGATCATCTTCGGTGCTGTTAAAAAGTATTTTTGATGTCTTAACATTTGCACATTTGCCACACATATTTCAGATCATTAAACAAATTTTAATATTACATAAAGACAATGTGAGGAAATCATTTTTTATGATTTTAATTTTTAAGGGGGAAATAAACTAAACAAACCAACCTAGTCCTGTGTAAAAAAGTAATAACTGGCTGTGAAGTCCTTGACACCAAGAACTATAAGTATTTCTGAGCATGACTGACTGAGCCGAAAAATCTCGATCGTATCTAAGTCCAGACTTAGACTAGGCCAATTGAAAACCTTCATTTTCTTTTTTTTACCATTCGCAGATGGGCTTGTTGGTGTGTTTTGTTGTCCAAATGCTACATAACACAAGTGTGTTTGAGCTTTTATTGGCCTCACATGCAGAAGCACGTGGAACACTACACAACATAGGTGTGTAGCTGTTTAAAAAACAAGTGGCCCAACAAGCCAACCAGAACTCCCCTGATCAACATCACTACAACGTACAGTGTTTGAGATGGTCTCCGTTTGTTTATTGCATCTAGAGAAATGTAAGGGAGGGTATGAATATATCCTCGTGGCAATGGACCACTTTGCGTGATTTGCTCAGACTAACCCCTGCAGAAATAAAAGTGCCAAAACAGCTGTAGAAAAAATATTTGGAGATTTCATCTTGAATTTTGGTTTCGAATACGGCTCCATCAGGACCAGGAAAGAGAGTTTGTAAACAAACTCTTTTCCAAGCTGGAAGAATACTGTTGAGTTAAGAGATCCAGAACCACACTATACCACTCCTGGGGAAATGGCCAGGTAGAAAGATTTAGTAGAATACTGCTGGCCATGCTTTGCAACCTCGCAGATGGAGCAAAAGCAGATTGGAAAGCATCCGTGGTAAAGGCGGTCCATGCTTATAACTGTATGCGCAGCGAGGCTTGGTTGCTTACTGTTGGTGCTTACAAGTTACTGCTTACTTCCTCTTGTTTTGGCGAAACACCAGACTCCCCATTCACATGGTTTTTGGTCTCACAGCTAAAGCCCAAAGCCCTTCCCATCAAGACTATACTGAAAAGTGGAAGGCTTGCATGAAGAATGGTTACAAACTGGCCTCAGAAACAGCCTATAAGGAAAGTTGATCAGGGAAAATTTTCTATGGCAGCAAAACGCTTGGTACGGAGCTATACCCATAGTGCAGATTACTGGTCTGAAATTTCAGTGAGAAGATAGAGGACCAGGGAAATTGAGATCATTCTGGGAGGGCTAGGTGTTTTGGGTGACACAAAGGAAACATAAGGATAGCCCAGTATATGAAATCAAGCCAGAGAATGTCAAGGGGCATATCAGGGTTGTCCACAGGAACCTCCTGCAGTCGTGTGACTTCTTGCCAGTGGAAAAATTCAACTGACATGCAGAACTGAGAAAGCAAAAACAGAAAAACAACAGGAACATAAGCAAGAGCACAGTTCAGAGGATGAGGATG